TTCTGAAAATGGGAATACATCCAATGCATAAGACCACCTATGGTATTTGGTTTACATTGAATATCAGTTGTCGTGATATATACTCATAAACCTATTATTGTGTTTTTTTTTGTTGAAAATAGGGTAATATTTATCATGAAAATAACACAATCATTAACATTTCATCTTTCCATTTTTCCTCTCTCTCCTCTCTCTCTTTTTCTCTCTGCAGTTCCTCGGTGATCCCAATCCAAACACCTCCCTCTTTGAGACGGACGAGAGATTCAAACCGCTCGGCTTTGAGATCGAGGACCTTGGATGCTGCAAGTGTATACGACACGCCGTGTGGGGGACGAACATCTTTGTGGGGGCGATATTCACTGACGCACCCAACAACTGTGATGTTGTCAAATCTATCCTGAAACAGGGATCCAGTCCCGAGTCTACACCAAAGACTAGTTAGCTAAAGTAGTATTTTTACTCTAGTATGTTTAAGGCCATTGCACACATCACAGTTTGACTAGATACAGATTTTTAACAGAGATTAAAGTGAGATTAGTTTAAGACTACAAACAGATTTTAAAGGAAATTAAAGTGGGATTAGTTAATGGATTTTTTGTAAATGTGAATTCTGTCTGATTGAGGTCCTGAATTATCATACATGTATAAACAATTCTTGGGTCATGTTATACGAAATAATGGTTTGGAAAATCTTGCACTGACTGGAAGAATCGAGGGGAGGAGGAGTAGGGGTAGATGGAGGATTCTGTGGATGAGTAGCTTAAGGAGTGGGATTTCTGAATGTGGAATTGATCTCGGATTCTCGGGGAGAATGAATTACTTCATAGAATATGGGACAGAGAGTTGTGGCATTCAATGGTCGCCAACATCTCAGGATGTGGCACGTAAAAAAGAAGATATAGCCTTTCAGATGGAGAAAGGGTCCTGATTTGTATGAGAGCAAACATGGACAATCTTGTTTTATCCTTTTTAGTTTTATCAACCAGAAATATGATTCTTAAATTAAAAAAAAAAATAATAAAAAAAAATAAAGAAATGGAAATAAGATTTAGGGGCATGCGGAAATGAGCAGTTTTGACAGGATTGGAGGATTGGAAGGTTTGAAGGTGTTGTTTGTGCAGGGTTCTTCTACATGTACATAAAGCACAAATTATAAACATTTTTATTTTGTTTCATTCACCAGAGTTTTGTCTCTGTTTTAAGATTGAGGATGGAATTTTGTGTATAAATGAAATTACAGACATAAATTGATGAAACTAATCTGTGGCTTTACAAAATATATATAGTACATGTATATTGTTCTGCCATGCTGTCCACTCTGAGCCAGAAGGCCGTTCAGTTGATTATCGTATGAATAGATTAACACCCTTTTGGCTCTTAACACCTTTTACACATATGAAGAGTTTAATTCCAAAAGGAGCTAAATCCACTTTTGATGAAAATAGAGTTATTAATATCAGAACATTGTTCACTTTAGTACCCGTCTTTGAACAAAATTATTTACTTTAATTTTTGGAGCAATAATGAAAAAAATTCAACTTCTAATGTCACTTTTCCATAGACGCCTGTACAAAATCTGGTAAACAATGGCTTTTTTCTCCGAAGTTACAAACATGGATTTAGCTCCTTTTGGAATGAAACTCTTCATATATATATATATATATATATATATGCCCTCAGGGAGAACTGTATTGATACTGATGAGTCTACCCTGGGTAAACAACACATATTGTTATAATTATTATTATTATTATCATCATCATTCTGCCATTCACTTGGCTATGTAAAGAATATCACATGACAAAAAGTTTTTTTTTAAATTTAAAGATAAGAATTGGTAAACAATGAGTGTACTCTTGTGACTATATTTGGGTACATTTTAGCAGCTTTAACAAAAGGATACAAAGCTTTTACTTTTTTATTGCGTTATCTGAACCGCTCAACAAGCAAGAAATGAAATTGCAGCAGTTCTACATGATTATCAACAATAAATTGTGTAGTGTGTGGAATATTTGCTCTATAATTGTTAAAGATATACATGTAGCTTACAAGCGCATATCTACCTGTTCAAGTCATTAACTGATAATTTAACTCCATCTAACTTGATTGAGATTAAATTCATTAAACCTCCATAGCGGTTCAACGGCCAGCTGCCGAACTACTTAGCTCTCTATCGCTGAACTGCTAAAGCAATTTCTTCTGTTGCCGTATATAAAGTAATAATCTCATTAGTGAAGCAGCCAAAAGTCTGTGTATGCTACAGATGCTTACCCAATGATATTATTTCAAATCTATATACAGCTTTGGTTAGCTTAAACAAAATATATAACTTTTTTTTTTATTGATAGATGAAGTCGAAATTCTAAGATTCTGCAAAGTTTTGTTTTCCTAAAATGGACTATGTGTAAATGAGAGGTGACAGGGGGGGGGGGGGGATACATGGGGGCTTGGGGCAAAGTAGCCCCTGAAAGTCATAAAAGAGCCCTTAAAAATGTGCATAGAGTTCAATGCAAAACAAATTAAAGCGTGTTATTTTCATGCAAGCAAGCTTGAAAAGTGGGCCCTGAAATTTGTTTAACCTTGTTTTGCCAGAGAGGTGAAAATATGTTCATGGTATTCAGTCAGCATTGTGCATGTCTGGTGACTGGCTGGAGTGTTGAAAGGGACTTGGAGAAAGTGCACACAATAATGAGTGCAGGCAAACTTTATTCAGATAGGTTATTGTATATGAATATCTGTAAGGCATTTTGAGACATCACGGATGGATCAAACCCTATGAATTCATCTATAAAGAGCATTAATTGTATTAAGACACACATTTTTTTTTTTATATATGGATTTCTGTTTTAAATTCTGAAAGTCATTTAATCATTTTGCTTCATTTTCTTTCATATAGTAACTGTGATAGGTTGATAAGAATATTGAAACTACATAGTACTACTCGCCAAGATACTAATGATGTCATGAAGTAATGTATTCATGTTGCTTATTAAGAACAAAATGGTTCAAGTTACCATGATCTTTACACTTTTCATACAATGTACAAAAGGAGTGTGCTTACCATTATTGCATGTATATTATTATTACACTGTTGTGTGGATGTAAAGTATTCAGAATATTTCTCTCAGAAAAGAATATGATTGAAAAGAAACTCTTTGTCATAAGTGTGTGTGCAATTATAAAAATCTTTGACATCCATTGTACAGTCGTGCATACCTTCAGTTGCTTTACTCTTTCTTTCTTTTCTCTCTATTTTAAAGGCACACTGTCCTACTTGTAGCTACTTGCTCCCTCTATATAGAAAACTTCCCTAATCGGTGCCTGTTGGTCCCCCATGATCCTCTTTTTCTTATGTCAAATGAGAGCTGAGTTAATGAGATAGCCACCTGTCACAGTGACCTCGTTGGCTCGCTGTGTGGTCTAATCCCTTCTAGCTGCAGTAGTAACGCCTACCTTTAAATTGCCCAGTAGAATTAGACGGTATCTAGAGTTATGAACAACATGTCCCAATAAGGTATTTGTGTTCAGTTGCATGCATGTAGTTACCATGGCATCATCTATCCAGAAAAACACCCTCATAAAGAGGATTTTTTCGTGAGGAGCCCTTTTAACAGAAGTGCCCTTATGAAGAGCCCTTATATAGAGTTGTTTATGATGAGTACATTAAAAATAGTATGTTAAAAGTGAGATGGTAAGAATACTTCAGCTGCATTTTAAAGTATGATGGTTTGTCTCAATGATAAGAATGTACACATTTACCTCAGGATCCAATAAAGAGAGATGCTAAAAATGAAATTTGTTTCTATTTATTTATTTTCATGTCTTTCTTTCTTTTTCTTGTAAACAGTACAAATGAGATTTTATCTGCAAGGCACAAAGATGAATACAATATACATACAAAACACATTGATTTTACAACATTGATTAAATCATAATACACGCAGGCTCAATACAAACTGTTTCAAAAAATTCATAAACTTTTGGAATAGATATACATTCTTCTCTTCTCATTCTCACTTGAAGAAAACAAAACATTGGGGTCGGAAGAAAGGTAAACAAAATATTAATATACCTGATATAATGAGAAGCCCTTGTTCTTTAAAGGAAGACTAACATTTTGAACAAACAATTGACAAGAGATGTAGTACTGCTGGGTGAGTAATACTGAATTCCTTGGCACAATTCACATTTGGTGACAGAAACAAGGAAGGAATGTCTTGTAATAATAATAATATTCTGCTTTTATATAGCTCCTAATACATCAATACAACGATGCGTCTATGCACTTTACAGATATATTATAACCCAGGTCATCGGATTCAGGCTTTCCCCGCACACAATGTATGCACATTTTCCGCTTCCTAGGGAGCATTTCTTGTTTTCAATATGAAGATAAGAACAACTGATAATTCTCCTTCCTGTTTGCTTTTGTTTAATGTGCATTTCTGTAAAGAGCTTGGAATCTTGGAGCATTCAAAACTCTTCTACCTGCTAAATCTTCCAAAATCTTTTTTTCTTCTAGGACTATTTAAACCATCTTTAGTCGAAGCTTTCAGGATCCTATTTTCTGCTGAATCTTCAGCAATGTTTGGTTATTTCAGCAAGTACTCAGCCATTATCAGTTTTCAATTTCTTGTAGCTCTCATACTTCTTGTTTGATGAACACTAGTATTAAAGGTTGAGTTAATAGAGAACAAACTAGCCACTGTTGATCTTTGTAGCTCTCATAATACTTCTTGTGCATAGAACTCTACCAACGTTGAGTCATTTCAGCGCAACTAAACATCATCAGTCATTGTAGCTATCATAAGGTCTATGAAAGAAAGATGTGTTTTGCCCTTTGCGACCGACCCACAAATCTTAAAATCTACAGTCGGCTTTTAATTTTTGTAAATATTTTTTTTTAACCAGTTTTTTAGAAAAAAAATGTATTAAAGCATTCAAAACTGAGAAATATCAGCCCAAAGAGGGAGTAAAAAAATTAAAAAAAATAAACAAAAAGATTTTTGACCGATCGAACCATGTTTTGGCACCTAAAGGACAATACAACATTTTTTTTTTTAAGACCTAATTCTTCTTGCTGGAAGTCTCCTTATATTGAGCTTCTCAGAACAACTGAACATTACGACTCCTTGAAGCTTTCATAATTCTTATTCCTGAACTCTAGTAATGTAGAGCCATTTCATAAACAACCATTGTCAATTGTTGGAGCTATCATAAATCTTCTAGTTGTTGGAACTGCTGAGGTTTTTTTCACCACTTCTATCATCTTTAGTTTTAGCAAGTTAGCTACATGTATCATAATTCTTCTACCTGTTGGAACATGAGTAATATTGAGACATTTCAGCCCAAATAACCAAACAATTCCTTGTAGCTTTCATGATTGTTCTTGTTCTTCCGACTCTAGTAATGTTCAATTATTTCAGCACCACTGACCACCATAAATCTGTGTAGCTACAATTCTTCTTCTTCTTGGCACTCTTAATGTTGGATCATTTCAGTATAACTAAAACCATCATGTCTTTGTAGCTACAGCTTTCATAATTCTTCCTGCTGTTGGAACTCTATTAATGTTGAATTATCCAGCGGAATAGAAAGGAGTTCCATTCCATCCAGACTCTGTATTGGGATTGATCAAATCAAAATTAATAATGAAAATAATCAGGGTAGATTTGACTACTTAATGCTTGATATTTATTCTGATTAAAACATAATGTTTTGACAATTCTATTGGTATAACAATGAAATATACATGCATTCATCCCAGTTGACTTCAAGTGGTTTAGAAAGCAAGCACACATAGTCTCTTGAGAACCAATAGGGTGTTCAAGCTTAAAACTTAAAGGGGAAGTCCACCCTAATATTAAGTTGGTTTTAATTGAAGCAGAAAAATGAGAGAAACGGGTCGATGAAAGCTTGATCGAGCAAAAACCGATTAAAAATATGACATTTTTTGAATTTGTTGAAGGTGCAATCAATCCAACATAAATAGCCAACTCTGTGACATATCTCATGAGATCCCCTCCCATGTGCCCTCTACTAAAAACTTCCAAAGGTAAATATTTTCCTTTTTCAATCCTACATTTACCCTAAATAGAATTATTGACAATATGGTTTAGACAACCCTATATGAAACTAATTTATTCTGTCATCAATAACTAAGAAAGTTTATAATATTGTTTTCTCCTTTTTCTGCTTTTATTAAAACAAACTCCTCTAGCTAAGCTCACAGCAGACAATGTTTTGGGAACTGAAAAATTTGGAAACCTTAGTCATTGCACAATGTATCACCAATTTCCAATAAAAAATAAATAAATAATCAAGAGCAAGTCATATCAAAAGGAACAGGGTAGTGAAAGTGTTCTTTATTCCTTACTCAACAAATAAACTTCTTTATTGTATTGTATTTTTGAAAATTTCTGCCAACTTTGCAACATGTGATTCAAGTGACATAAATTTACCTTCTTTGACTTGATAAGTTTATGATCTCTGAACTCTGTAAGTTGCGCCCTCAATGTCAGGTCACTGTTGACGAGGAATGCCTCTCTGCACTTCTGATACAGCTCTTGAAATGACATACCTGGGGAAGATAAAAACAATCATACAGAAAATAGATTTTATCGCAAATATCCAGCAGTGATTGCTCCGCAATTTTATTCATGACTTCAACTCTGGACGTAAAACTACATGTATACCTAAAGCTAATCCTACCCTACACCCAATGCTCACTCTAACCTGCCAAAAACCAAATTACAATCTGAGGCCTAACTATTGTATCATAACCTGCTCCATTGTCAGACCCATGGAAATCATTGTATGTAAAACTGTTCAGGCTGGGAAAGGGTCAAATATATAAATAATTATCTTTACCCACTGATCATGACTCCCTCTTTTTGTGGTGACATAGGATTTTGCATATGTCTACATGTACGTGCTGGCGGAGGGGGTTATGATCTAAAAAAAATATTTCTCCATAGGATTGTAATGCATCAAGTGGTCGCATACGCACAGTAAGTCAACACCATCCGTTGACTTGCCCTACTAGTAACATACAAAGTCTCGTCTCCATTCTTTTGAAGGACAGGTCACCTGTGAAATGGAGAGTGGCTGAAATGCTCCACAGAGAAGTGGGGAGTGCACACAGTAAGTTCAGTATTAAAACTCAATCAAGTAAAGTTTAAAAACATCAATTACACATGATTGGAAAGGCGGTGTATTTAATATGTGACCTGGTATGATTTTTGTTTTGCATTTTGCAGCTTTATTCTGCAGCTTTATGTTCACAATTATTACTGTTGTAAATGTGCATACAGCCATGCTGTTAACAAAATTGTGTAACATTGTAAATGTAGTTTAATGTACATACCGGTATACCTGTCTCTACAATACTGATATCCCTCACCAAGTTTTGTAATTTGTTAAGTGTGTGAAAAATTGATTTGTCCCGATTTATGTTTCTTGAGAATGTGACATATCAAAGCTTATGAATCTAAGGGCGCGTTCATGCTTGATTTTGAAGGCAGAATGAGCGATTTGTAACGCTCATCGTAAACGCTCATCATAATCGCAGTTCCACGGTGCACTGTTCATGCTCACTTCTCCAGGCAATTCTCCTTGGGTGGCCTTCAGCTGGATTCGCAAACCTGTGTGCGCATGCTACGTAGACCCACTAGAGGTCAGTGCGTTGACCCCATTTAAACGCGTTTACAAATTGTAAACGCATCTTTTTGTGAGTTTACGATCGGCGATCGTGATCGCCGTTTTTCGGTGATTCTACAAAAGTGAGCATGAACGCAATCGTGTTTTAAACTAAACGCGTAACAGATGCCTGATTCTGGCCGTCAAAATCAAGCATGAACGCGCCCTAAAAGTATTCAACAAAGGCCCTCATTCAAACAGTCAGCCTTTCATTCTGGAGTCGCAAACTACACAAAAATCATCAAATTTACAAGGGGTATGAATAATTCACTTGTTAACTGCATACAATGTAAAATAAACATAACAGCTTCGTTGTATGCACATTGACAGCTGGATATGATCTTGTACACTAGAGCAGCTGCACAACTAATGCAAAACTAGATGGAACTTTGACTGCGCGCAGTCGAAATGATGCCTCCGTCATAGAGCAATTTTACAAACCAAAACAGAAGAAATTTTTCAAATTCAAGTTCAATTGTAATCCATTAACAGGTTCTCAGAATATCGTGATTACAAGCAATTTCTCATATACATATATGACCCTTTGATCTTTGACCTCATGACCCCAAAATCTAATCAGTTCATCGGCTCTGCAAGATACATACATGACCAAAGTTTGGCAGGAATCCATCGATCGGTTCTTCAGATAACGCAATCACGAGAACGGGACGTACGGACGGACGGATGGACAACCCGAAAACATAATGCCTCCGGCTACTTCGTAACCGAGGCATAATAAAATTATTGTCTTATATACAGCACCATTGACAGCTGAAGGTGTTAAAACAAAGTACATGTAAGCTTACCATTGTAAGTGCCATCATCTTTATGCTCCATCTGAAACTCCACCAAGATGTTGAAAATACCCCTGTGAAATATAAAATAAAGCAAATCTATGACATCATTGTGCTAAAAATAAGAATGCCCTACAAGTACTCAAAAAATATCAGGTACAGCTGATCACTATAGGAGGCGCGATAGCTCAGTCAGAAGAGCAGTGGTCTCGTATTCCGGTGACCCGGGCTCAAAACCAAGGCGATGCGCTAGTGCCCTTTGGTATTTAAAGGTATTATTCCTCATTACCAGGTCCCTCGGAGAGAACCTAAAGCTGTCGGCCGTCTGGTTGCTTACTAAATGCTTTCTTAGCAGTCAGGTAAAATAACCACCATCACCATATACTATCTTTTGATGAAATTCAGAAATTACACTTAGAGAAGTTGCTACAGGGAATCTCCATCAAAATAAAATGGAAGTGTATCAGATATTTTGTGCAGTAACAAACAAGGTATGGAGTGTAGATTCCCATTTCTCTATTTTGTAAAAAATCTCTCGAACTTTTAAGCTCCAGTGGAATCATCCACAGATAACAACATTCTTCATCTGCTCAATAAGGTTATGGGAACAAGGCCCTGTTTCACAAAACTTCTTATCAAGGACAAGTTACAAGAACTGTTTGTAAGCTCCCAAAATTATTGCACTTAAAGAGAAGGTTGAGTTCTGGGAAGAGGTGAAAAATAATTTGTGAGCATTATCATTCTTATTATGCAAGTGTGGAAGAACATCATATAAGACATGTTCCCTGAAAAGCATGGCTCTTCAAATGCCTTCATATTCGAAATATGTCATGTAACATCGTAAAACTCGGGGGTAGGATTTTTACGCCACGTGTTCGTGTAGTCCCATATACATCTTTGTGTGCACAGTGTTTGAAACTTACCAAGACTTGGCCAAATTTCTTATCATTTTGATGATTCCAGAACCTTGCAATGCACACAAATTCTTATATGCTAGATGATTACCTTTTCTGGTCGATTCCACACCGATGCTTTCACAATGCAATCGCATGACCAGAACTCAACTTCATCTTTAACTCTTTACATGCCACACAAATAATCTCCCTGTGCCACATTGTATTAATCATGGGATAGGTACCGGTATACAACAGGCTTCAAATAATTTAATGGTTTCTAGTGTAAGATTGATCTGTACTGGTTTTAAAAGGGTTGCCATATTTTCCAAAGCCATTGGCCCGAATTCACAAAGCAAGGTTTGAGCTCAAACCTCCTTTTGTTTCGCCAAACCTCCTTTTGTTCTTTACAAACCAGGTTTGTAAAAAATGCGTAAAACGCGTCATATGACGTACGAAAACCTTGGTCTGAGCTCAAACCTCCTTTGTGAATTCGGGCCATTGTGTTGCACAAAACAATCCTTCCGTGAAGTCACTATGAACATAACAGACAATAAAAGCGGACAAAATATACAGTTCCTCAGGTAGACAAAGGTACATCCCTTCACTGCTTTTATGTTAAAATGTGTGGAACAGGTGGATATGCATGTGACACCTGTTCTACACATTGTTACATAATAGCAGTGAAGGGATGTTCCTTTGTCTACCTGTGGAACTGTATATTTTGTCCGCTTTCTTTGTCCGCCATATTCATAGTGAGTGGTACCTAGTATTTTGTGCAAAATCACATGTGTGGTAAACAAACAACCATGCAGAGAGGCAAATGCAGCAACCAAAGTGTTAAATGGCAGTGAGCAAATGTTTATAGAAATCTTGGCAGTTTTTCTTGGCATTGAAGCCCCACTGTACTACTTGTAGCTACTTGCTCCCTCTATATAGAAAACAATGCCTAATTGGTGCCTGTTGGTCCCCCATGATCCTCTTTTTCTTATGTTAATTGAGAGCTGAGTTGATGAGATAGCCACCTGTCAGTGACCTTGCTGTGTGGTATAATCCCTTCTGGCCAAACTAGTACGGACGGCCTTTAAACACGATTCATAACAGGGCCCTGAACAGTTGAAAGGAAGAAGGGAGATACCTACCTGGCATTTGGGGTCAGACTGCGGAGCACGTGGGTTAGGGAGCTGAGGGCCAGCATACCGGATTGTTGGACGAGGAGTGAATTCTCGTACGATGTCTCATCAGTGTACGGGTCAAAGGTCGTGACATCGTACCACATCCAGCGGAATGTACTCGACCTCTCCTGATCCCAAACTGAAGGAGAGAAAAAGAAGAAAACACTCAGATACAAGGGCAAGACCTTATAAGGTAATACTAATCGGTAACTAAAAATAAATTTCCTTTTGCCCTTAAAAAAAGCACTTTCAATAATGCATTATCCTCAATTAACAATTAGTATACAAATAAAAAGGAGCACTATGATTGCAGGATTCTCTGGGAGAAGAGTAATACAAAAAGACAAATTATTATTATTACTATCATTATTAATATACTAACCAAGAGGAGCGTTGATATGATCGATTGAAGCAAGTATGTGTACGTTGTTGACCTGTGCAAGTTTACTCAGGATCGACTGTACCTTAGATCCCCGCAGCATGCTGCCATCCAGGTTATGGATGAGGATAAAAAGAGGCTCTGAAAAATAGGAAAAGATGAAGTGTTAAGTTCCTGTGTTAACACACATTTTGTGAGGAATGCAGAAGTTTAAGTGTTTATCTGCATAAGGAGTAGAATCAGAACGTTATTCTGTAATTGAAAGACATGTATGAGTCTACATATGGTACAGAGAGTAAGAGAGAGAGAGAGAGAGAGATAGAGAGAAGAGAGAGAAAGAGAGAGAAAGAGGAAAAATGAGAAGAGAGAGAGAGATATAGAGAGAGAATGAGGAGGAGAAGAGAGAGATGCACTCTATCTTATGCACTACGAAGGACAAGGGTTTGTACTGGCAAAACTGGTAAAGAGCATCGAAATTCAGAGCTGCCAACCTCCACAACAGAAAATCAGTAATCACAAGACTCAAAATCAGTAGTGAGGGAAACTGTACTCTTATGATTGTTAACAATTACGGGAAATCCATAGTTGGCAGCTCTAAAAATTATATTACAGGCATGATGAAAACCCCAAAGAAAATGGAAAATTATAGAAAATTACATCTCACCGTCCATCTCGTCCAGTTTCTCCTCAATGAACTCCAGCTGATCAGCCATGTTTCTATGGTTACACACATCATCAATCACATCATCAGAGATGGCATTCAGAATCTAGGAGAGGGAGGGAGAGAGAAGTTTGGAACTGATTAGATGATAAGCCATGCTTCCATAATGACATTCACCATCAATAGACCAGTTCACGGTTGGCAAATGTCCCGAATGATCCTGAATATCCACAGATCTTCAAAACATGAAAAGGTCCCACTTTGTACATTTTGAAATAATCACCTCTACAGCGATGGAGGTGCTATATAAATAGTCTTTGTTTCCCCTTTTCAAAGAATACTTCCACCTGTGTATCGTGGAGTGCACTGAATGTGCATGAATGAATAATGATTACATAACTTTCATGAGCACGTATCCAGTATTTCGTCTCCATGTATTTCAAAATTTGTTCTGCTATGACCTTTATCTGCTCATGCTCAGACTGCAACCGTGAACTGGCTATTAGATGAATCAGAAATGACATTGAGAATCTGATAGAGAGAGAGAGAAGTTTACAACCAATTAGATGAAAAGCCATGCTTCCATAATTACAGCCACCATCAATTAGACGAATCAGAAATGACATTGAGAATGTATGGGAGGGGAGAGTGTGACATTCAAGAATGCTTATATAATATTAATGATGATGATGATGATGATGGTGATGGTGACGATGATGATAGTGTTGGTGGTGATGATGATGATAATGATGATGATGATGATAATGATGATGATGATGATAATGATGACGATGGTGATGATGATAATATTAATGATGATGGTGACAGTGATGGTGGTGATGATAATGACAAGGTGATGATGATGGTGATGATATTAGATTTTTAAGGCACCAACCATCAACATTACACTGAGTAGGGCATCTTACTTCAACTGGTGTACAAGGTTAAAGGTTAAAGGTTAAATGACTCACACTCTTCATTGTAAGACTAGGGAAGTAGCCATTGACGACAATACTGGTGTAGTCCTTCAGCTGCCGTCTTCTGAACTCTTCTAAAAGTCTACGTTTTGATCCTAAGCCATACAGCAGAATGTTGAAGTCATTACTGTACACGAAACAATAAAAATAATATAAAACAAATTGATATAGTTCTACTAATATGCATATATACACTACAAGGAAGCAACACATTTAGACGAGCTGCCATAAGGTGCTCAATCATTCAACATTTTTTTTCTTTCTTACCAAGTATGCGTTTACTTCACCTGGGTGGAGGGCAGCAAATAAAGTTTAAATGTCTTGGCAAAGAACAATAGCATTTGAAAGATTCACATTCTACAGTTTTTCTCATTCAATGAAACATCCAGGCTAGTAAACTTTAAAGTCAAAAGATATATAGAAAAACTGCAGGGTAACACAAAGAGCGAGTCTTCATTGGCAGGTGGTCTCTATAGACAGGTTTACTTTAGCACATGTTTCAATGAGAAATGGGGTTTCAAGGAAAACCACACAAATGTGGTCTTTATCTTGGTCTTTCTATACAGGTGGTCACTAAAGCAAATCTAATTTCTCTATTTCTTAACTTACCTGGTTGGCTGGCAATAATTCTAATTTACCGTTACCGTAGACAGAAAATCAGAGCTCGTTATATTCGCGCCTTGTTCCTTTTAGTTTCCGTTTGTATTGTTTGATTTCAGCTTTCTGTTACATTCTTGCGTTTTACTCTGATGAGTGCAAGGCGAAAAGCTTAGGTATGGCTCTTTTCAACGCGATTCTCTCTCTAACTTACCTCAAGTGGTACATCCATTTGTTGAACAGTGCGCAGTGTTCTTCAAACAGCTCTCTCATCTCCTTGGTGTAGCTATTGGGGGCGCTCTCCAATGCCTCGGCCAGCTGTCCGCTACCCATCTGGGGAGTGTCTAGCCGCGATAGGGTGTGGTCTGATGTTAACGCTTGTCCTGCGTGGGCCACAAAGTATTCCTGCGCCATGTTTGATTGCTGCCATAGTAATAATAATAATATTTAATTTTTATATAGCACTTAATACAAATGAGTGGTATTCCAGTAGTGCGTACTAAGTTAGTCCACACCTTTATGGAGTGCCAGTTGCCAACCCATTTACCCTGTACAGATTATTTTAATCCTGCAATTAAAAGTGTCCAAAAAAAATAATTTTGCAATGAAATGGGAAGAAAAAGATATTATGAATGTGAACTGAATTTCAACAAAGTCTTTGGTAGATTATCTTGTCATGAATATTGAAGGAGGAAGATGACACCTAGCATTCCATAGAAGTGTGAACTAAAATTCTTGTTTAGTCTGGACTTAGTCCGGGCTTAACTTATGAGAATACCACCCAATGTCTCTAAGCGCTTTACAAATATACTATTACCCCGATCATTGGATTCAGTGCTTGCCCGCACACACTGTGTGCACAATCTCCACTCCCTGGGTGACAGTTATTCAATACTTAGTGAAAATGTTGTACACTTTTTTTCTAGATCCAGACCAGTTTGGTATATAAACATACCTAAATCTTTAATGTGTAGGAAATTATTTTCACCACATCAAAGTCTTATAGTTTAGCTAAACATAATATGTTTCACTTCTCTGCACTGAAGCCTAATACAAAGTTCCAGAGGGAGTGACTCACCATAGATGAAACGTCATCCTTAGCGGCTGTTCTCTTTGATTTTCTCACACCACCACCCGGGGTTGCTCCCTTTGAAGCACCGTCTCCTTTCTTAGCTTGGGAGGCTGATGACCCCTTGGCAGTGGCCCTTTTTGTCTGTTGTTCCTTCTTAGTCGTGGTGGCAGCATGGGACGCCCTCTTTGGTCGTTTTATTGTAATGCTTCTCTCACTGCTTGTGTCGCTGTTCATGTCATCCTTGTCACCAAAATCGTCGTCGTCATCGCTGCTCTGATCAGAGGAGAAATCACTGTCATCTTTGTCCTGTCCTATCCGTCCTATAGAGAATACATTTCCATATTCCATTATCATCCTTACCAGGTCTATATCCATAACATTTTTAAAGAAATGTACATCTTTACTTGTACCGGGTATGCCTATCATTGACATTTTATGGATGAAATAGTTACTGCACAATTGGTTGTTGGGAAATAAGGTTATTACTATAAAACTTAAACACAAGAAACAAAAACAAATTCATTGGACATTCATTCTACTTCATTCTAGCATGTGCATAATCTCAATAAGGTCCTGCTTCCACATACATAATTATGATGTGGATGGATTAACAAAATTAAAGGGTCAAAAAGGAAAGTTGTATGGTTCTCATTAAGAATTACACAACAAAAAATAAAGAAGACCTGAAGTGAAAAAAAAATTGGGTGGGGGAGGGAAGAGGGAGTCCAAAAATATTCTATGAAAAGCAACAACAACAAAAATCATCCCATGATTCTTCTTTTTTTCTTCAGCCTTTCATCTTGGCAAGGGGTGGGCCACATCCCCCCCCCCCCCCCTCTCCAGTGCTCCCCTTCCTGAATTAGCCCTTAATTGAAAAAAGACAATCATATCTCACTTTTGTGTTTTCTTTTGATGGCTGTACTCTTTGCCTGTTGTCTGTCGGCGCTCTGTGCTGCTACCTGAGCCATCTTACCAGATCTCTTATTGGCCTTAAAGGAGTACACCGCCGTTCCCAATGGCCCATCTCGATCCAAAAGGACTGCAGAAATAAAGACAGAATGTTTGATTGATGCTTGATTAGTCTTAATTTGAAATTGGTGATATTTCAGATGGAATTAAGAACCAATAAGGAAAGAGTTGTGTTGATTTATAGCTTCAATGTTTTCTTTGTCCATACATTACTGAGCTGCAGAGGTTTAACCCATATATTGTAGCAGTTCAGAGTTTTCCAAAGGTCTAAATTAATCAGTTATTCCTCCTCACATTGACATCACTCTTTCAATTTTCCACTTTTTCTTAGGGAATAAAATGTACAATCAATGAACCAATGTGAATGAAAATTACAAATAAATCATTCAGAAATTACCAATTTAAGCACAAAAGTAGAGATAAGAAATTTTGCTCAGCATTGCAAACTTAGAAACTTCAATGATTATTTTCAATCATCAATTATTAATATCGCTATTATTTATGAAAGGCAAAATGTACTGCAACAGAAATGGACTCAAATTTTCGAGCAATTTTTACATTTTCTCTTCTTCTTAAACTTGTACTTGAACTTAAGAGCATTCTGGATCAAAAGATGAAAATAAAAAAATCGTTTAAAGCCTGTCTGCACTACTTGTATCTACTAGTGCCCTGTATATAACAAACAATGCCTATTAAAGCGGTACCCGTTGGTCCCCCATGATTCCCTTTTTTCTCATGTTAATTGAGAGCTGAGCTGATTTGACCACCTGTCAGTGACCATGCAGGGCCAACCTAGTACAGACAGCCTTTAAGGCGATACTGAACTGCTTAGGGTTAACGACTAAATTCTCATCTTAATTGACCATCATACCTTCTGAAACGGCTTCTAATACGTCATCCTCATTCTCATCATCGCTTTCATCTTCTTCCATCTCCTCCTCTTCCTCTTCCTCCTTATCATCACGCTCCGGCCGAGTTGATTTCAACTCAGTATAGTTGACCCGTTTCCGTGATGTTCTCACAGGTCGGCTTGGAGTTGGAACCTCTGATTCTGAGGGAGCTAAGGTATGAACCTTACTCTTCCTTACCTTGGTATCTGTGAAATACAAATTGCACGGTTATACAAAAAAATCATGATATTTGTAAAGCCTACTTTCCTTCTTCCTCCTAAAATCATATGAAATATTCTCTCTGAATGAATTGACCATGAATCTCTACTGAAAATGTCACTGTGAAAGCTACAAGAGTTTGTAAAGATAATTGCTTTCTTTTAAAACTAGTTAACTTTTAACATTGAATCAATGTTAAATGATTGATAAATGTGCAATTAAGATTTTAGGATTTGGTACTTGCCTCCCTACCTGGGGTGTAGTGTAGAATGTATTGATTAGACTCTAGGCCTAGAAGTTTTTAAAATTCAGAACTTTCTCATTAATAAGATATTTGTCGGATTTGTACATCACATTCACAGTTTCAGTGCAGTGCTGCATGCTGCCAATTTGTGTTTCAAACTTTCTCAGTCTTACTTACTTTAGATCTAACTGATGACAACTTAAAAATACTCTAGACTAGATCTAGATCTAGACTAGACTCTAGACTAGTTTTAATCAGATATTGCTCAAAATTGCACTTATTTGTTCGTCTTTATTTTTTCCGATATTATTAATACTTTTATTTCAATGAATAATACCAGCTAGATATAATCCGAGTTTGCCCGAACCGAAAATAACACAAATTTACACATGTGGGACTGGTCTCACCAGATTGCCATTTTTAATGCGAGTCTCAATTTCAAATTACCTAAACGTAAATAATCAAATTTAATGAGAAATTACCTGCCACTTCTTCCATTATATGATTCATAACGTCATCATTACCCACAAAAGTGACAGATACTCCCTTCACACTAGACTTTTTAGACTTTCTATCCATGTTTATAATTTTGTGTTTCGCACGCTTTTACAATGGTAGCTTGGACTAGACAAATTTACTGAGAAAAAGTCTAGTCTAGGTTCGCTTTCTCAACAAAATCGGACCAGGTTTCGAAAATCTGATAGGCGTAGGCCTAGACCTATCACCAATTAATGGAAAGAGGAACTTAAAATTATCTATGGACGGAATTTTCTCTGAATTGGGATGTGAAATTATGAAAATATTGACAAAAGATTGGCAAATTTTGCAGTCCATTCGGAAGTGAAAGGCCAGATTGTGATTTCTAATTCTTTAAAGACATTGGGCCCCCTTTGGGCCTAACACATTAAAGTGGAAGTAGGGCCTATTCATTTTGAGAGCAGATATCCTCAAAATTGTAATTGAGAAGTGGTACCAACTGATTGTATGATATCTTGCCTTGCAAATCGTGAAATTAGGCTTACCTTAGTCTTGATGAATAGCATTTTCTTAGCTCCGCTACCGTGCGCGAAGTAAGTAAGGTCTCGTTGTTTTATGACTTCTTTAGTTGCATGCAGCGCGCACACGTGTACGCCGATCCGACATCGCATTTTTAGATCGCGATAAATCCGGAATCCTGGCTTTGATGATAAATTTTCTAAAATTCTAGTTGAACCGATTTGTAGTTAAAGAATTTAGCGTGCCATCCATGTGGTAATACTTGAAACAAATAAATTTGTGTAGAATATAAGAAATCATAGATCGAATATCACATGATTTTCAAAATCTCCGCGAACTTAGTCTATCTTTGGTCACCGGCCTTAATAGATCTAGGCCTAGGTATATCTTTGACTTTAGTTTTACTTTTAGACTCTAGAATCTAGGCCTACTTTAGTTTTTAGGTCTAGGATCTATGACCTAGTAACGTTTACTTTTAGTAGGTCTACCAATTAGTAGCATAGTACTTTAATTAGTAGATACTTACTCTCAGTAGATCTACTACTTAACCTGTAAGTGTTACAAGACTGTCTAGTTAGTAAATTGTTAGATCTTACTTAGTCTTACCTTTATCAACAGGATCATCCATCATAATGCGCACGGCACGTGTAGCTAGTCAACTCATAAAATCTAAGAAAAATTACGTGTCATTTTAATTTAGGCGCAAGTTAAATGCCTGGTCACGTGTTGGCCTACGCTTAAACAAACCGGACCAATCATTTGATTAGGATCCGCTTCATCATCTTAAATATAATTATGTAATAGAAAATCAAGCATAAATCTTTTTTGTTAATGATAATAAAAAATAATATTTTATAACAATTCCAAAAAGAATTGTACGAATCTGCATACCAAGGGCGGATCAAGGATTTTATGAAATTAAAAAAGGTCCAATTTCTCTCAAATCTGTGACCATGTCCACGCCCCCCCCCCCCTTCGAGCCAAAAAAAAAACTATGGGAAGGGGGCGGGTAAATTACATAAGGCGGTCCAATTAGGCTATGAAAGAACAGAAAAAGTGATACATACAAGATTAGTGAACACATCCGGGGGGGGGGGGGGGTACTCACATTAAAGAGTGGGTGTGCCGCTCTAATAGTAACTTTTTCACAAGAAAATCCCTAAACATGGGTCCCATTTTTAACAAAAATACCCCTAAATATGGGTCCGCTTTTTCAAAAATGTCAAAATGTTCAGGATTCTTTTGCCATGCAAACACCCGAAAATTTTGAAAAATGGGCTTTACTTCGGAAAAAAAAAGTTCACAAACTCTCAATTTCTCTCCTCCCCCCCCCCCCCCCCCCCCCCCCTCTCTCTCTCTCTCTCTCTCTCTCCCTCAAACTCTCCCTCTCTCTCTCTCTCTCTGCCTGGCTCTCAGTTTCTCTCTCTTTCTCCCATTTCCCTTTTTTCCCGATGTCGCAGTAGCAGTAGCGGTGTCGGTTTATGTAAGGGTTTGGGGCTGGGTTTCTGGCTAGGGATGGGTATCTACGGCTGGGGTTAATTGGTGTTCGGTTTCATTGTTGCTGGAGCATGGGTCGTATACAACCTTCCCATTATCTTTATTTATTTGTATGCATCTCTTTACTTATTATGTTATAATAATTGCCGTTTTTCTAATGTAAATCAAATTGTTGATCCCATTATATTTCTATTCCGTATTTTTATGTATATTGTTTGTAAGTGATTAAGCTCGATCCTGATGAGGTACTATATGTTTTTTTTAATAATAAATACCCTCTTAATTCAATTCAATTCATCTGAATATCAGTCCAAGTCATTCCATGCTATCTCCAATGCTGCTCACATGCATGCATGAGCGAATAAAAGAGTAATCTAACCCTTATAGTAAACTAGCAGAAAATCACGTCGAATATCCCCCCCCCCCCCCCCCCCACTCCGAGAACGGACGGACCCCATGCGTGTTACCAAAATGTCCGGTACTTTTCGTGCGACAAAGTCCGGCCCGAGAATTGTAAAAAAAAAAAAGGGGTGTATTAACTTTTCACCCGGAGTTTTCTTTAAAAAGGTTTTTTTTTTTTTTTTGAGAAATTATTCTTAATTTAGGGGGGTACATTTAGCATTTTTCATGATTTAGGGGGGTCTCCAAGGAAGGAAAAGCCCGCGAAAATCCCGCGAAAATCCCGCGAAAAACCCGCGAAAAACCCGCGAAAGGGGGGTTCGGAAATGTTGGCAGTCCTCAGATATAGGGGGGTGCTTTCAAAAAGAGGGAACAAGCACATGCGTACCCTAAATAACACTGAGTGGGGGGGGGGGGGGGCGGGCAACTATCCAAGTTCTAGAGATCAATGAGAGTATACATGCCTACGACAATCAATGCAATTTGACTAAGTATTTGTCAAATAGTAGTTTTTATTGTCTACACTCAATACTCATAACAAAACAAGTCATAATTAGCACAGATGGTTGAGCACTCTGCATAAAAGTAGTTGGTTAATTTATGACAGACTTTATGTATTAGGGACTGCATGTGAAACAAAATAAAGTTCTCAATTTTATCTTGGCTAATTACAATTGCATTTTCTTTACCCGTTTAATAGTTTGGTAAAATATAATGAACATGAATGCATTATCATTGTTAAGAGTTCAGGATAACCAGTTTCTTATAGGTACACGTAGGTGCCACGTGCATTGGGGCAAGGTATTCTGTAATATCAAAACATAATAAAACTTATCATTTTGCCTGATGTATCACTGTTCATAATTTTCATTCAATTTATGTGATTTCTTACAATAACCTTTTTGCAGCTCTACTTGGCATTACACGATGATTCAGTCAATCTTTCATGACGTTCTGTTCATTATTATTAATGGAAAATGTTTAGTCATTTTATTTCATTATAAAGATTCTCTCAATTATTGCATCATCTTCTTGGCTGCACGAACAAGTTCTCTTTGTGGTCTCGTTGCTTCTTTCGGAATACATTTCTCATCATGAAGTTTTCTTGATCACTTTTGCTTCTTAAGGTCCTCCTCCCTCTTCATCTTATAGTATTCATTATACTGAATATCAGTACCAAAAATCTTATCCCACCACGTAAACGTAGGGGCGTAGTTTCCTTTTAAGTTCATGTGATGAAAGTCGTGGAACTTAGCACCTGCAATAAACAGAAAAAGGATTAAATGAAATCAATGACGGACTTGATAGTGATTTGATCAATGAAATCAGGGGCATTGAGAAGGATGCACTAGGGGCTGATGGGTCAGACTCTACTAGAAATAAACATATAAATCGGCAAATCCATAAGCGTCGTAATTTTCTGATCTAATATAGAGCAGTTTTCTTCATGGCAGTTTCATCCTTAAGTTTGAAACATTATTAGATAATATTTGAAAACTTACATTTGACACCACCTAAGTGCAAACGTTTCCAGGGAAACCTCTTGTTAATATATGCATATCTTGGACAGATATTTACTGATGGAAATCAATGACGTGGATTACTGGATGTTCCGTTCACTTTTAATTAATAGAAAATATTGGATAGAAAATATTCTATCCAAGATTTTCAAAAGTATAATGGTGATTAATTGCTGACATCATTTCCTTAGATCTAGAGTCGACTGACAAAATCATTGACGATTGGCTAATTACAGGTCATTGGCACATTATTTTGGTGGACCTGTTTGGGAAAAAGAATACCTGTTTATTTAAAATCTGACTAGTCAATTTATAAAAGTGTTAATATTATCCCAAAAAATGATGATGATAATAATAATAATAATAATAATAATAATAATAATAATAATAAATGTCACATTTGTATTTTAACACATTAAGCGCTTTACAAGGCAATTATCATAAAGAAAGTAATATTTTTTTTCAAAATGTGACCCTACCTCCATAGAATGGGAATAGATGCAGGGGGTTAAGCGGGACGTTGTATCCAGAGTGGACGTCAATCACTTCTAGGAGACGTACAAACATCCAGGCCCACAGGAGGATGAAATGATTTCCAAAGATGAGGACGCCCCACATGTTGCCCACACCAAGGACTTAATGGAAATAAAGAAGCAAAACGATAAGAGCTACATTATATTGCGCACATACCCATCACAGGGGATACTAAAGGCGCCTATGGCTTTAGCCGGGTCGTTTAAAAGATATTTACAAATTCTGTAAATATCTTTTAAACGACCCGGCTAAAGCTATATGATAATACTTTGTAGGCAAATGCGAAATTCTAGTCGGTAAAAATCATCATATTGAATACTCGTACAAGATGCCCGTGCGTGTTCACCACGTAGGCTCTCAGATGTTCCATTATTTCTTAGGCCCTATAGCTGAGCTATCGGTGACGACAGATACAAGGAATTCATTGCTGCCAGGTATCCATTTACCACCTAGGTGCAGGTGGAAAGTGGCAAATATCGAAATAGGGGCTAGTACCTATGCTTCCTACCAAACAAATGTCCCACTGTTTGTGTCTACTTGAATAGGCATCATCGAAGTTCATATCAAAACAACTTAAGGAAACGTTTCCTTATTAGTTGGCTAGAGTGTAAAGTTCTGGTTTCAAAACCTTGTTTGATATAAGGTATGACATGATTGACATACATGAAAAACCCAATGATACTTAGTAGAAAGGGCACTCTCCAAAAATGATGATGTTGCTCAAATCATTAGACCACAATCAAAACCAGTGTACAAATAGTCTTACATAATATTATCTTAAATTCCAGTGGGACATATTTTCGACCACAGCATGATATTCTCTACCTCCTTTTTATTGTTAATAAATTTATTATAAGTTGATTATGAAATTTAGATGCTATGTATTTTCATCATAGTAAAGAAACAATATACTTACGGATTGTTTCTACAGGATGAACACACTCGGCTACCATTCCGTGGGGAGCCTGAATCAAAACAGAAATTAATGATGTACTTCATATCATATTTATACAATATGGAATTTTCATAATGATATCTATAATGTTCTCTCAGTAACTACGTTGACTTATTATGGGCGTTCCCAACTCATGCCATAGTTTGTGTCTTTCGCCTCCTTCTGTTATCTGAATTATTTACTGTATTATACTTTATGTTGAAATCATTATTACATAAATTATATAATTTATATGTACATTGTGTTTCATATTGTACCTTTGAGAAGGAAATAAATGTTAATAAATACAAATACAAAATATTTTATTCATACTGATTGTGATGGAATACGGACTCAAAGATTTATGTGACTTCTAGTTTAAACACGTTGTTGCAATTCAATGATGAAACAAAGGAGACATCCGTTCAACTCATGTTGGTTCCTGTATTCTGACACTGTCGTGGACCATCATTGGAAAGTGAAGAGAAAAATTCAACAACTGTGTGACTGGGATAATTCCCGCAAAATACAACAAATGAAAACACTAAATACATGTTCTTGATATACGTTTAACACTTAGAAATCCAATTTCCACATATACTCAAGTTTCATTCGTGTGGCAGTAATTTTAAACTTTATAGTTATAATAATATGCCAACTTTCGATAAACCACAAATCTTTAAAGAAGCATAAATGCAAAACCATAGACAAAAGAATAATCAAGAACACAAACAAGAAACTTTCTCAAGCCCTAAATGAGACTAACAATCATGAACTTATCACCGCAAAATGCGAAAAATTCAACAGCGTCGATTTTTTTTTCTCCCTCCTTTTTGTTTTGCTTCCATTTAAAATTATTTAAAATTATTTAAAAACTTGAATTCGGCGTAAATATTCATAATTTAATGACACACGCCCTTAAAACTAAAACAACAACAACAACAACATCACGTTATCTCTAAAATGATATTCATCCGCACATTAAATCGTGCGTGAAGAGGTTTTCGTAACTAAGATACCATCACACGTACATACGCAAGTAAACATAGTTTGGTCTTAACTTATTCGAAGTCTACCCATGCTCATAACTAAGTTAAATTCACATATCATCTTCCTGACAACCATCAATTTTAAACTACTATCTATTCACAAAGAAAAAGGTCTTCAAAAGACCGTCTTAACTATCGATCAAACTTTCAACTAATCCATGTTCGCGATTCGTTTCACGGCACTACACACATTCATATATTGGCTATTGCTTTCATAGTGTGACTGTAATCTATATAACTTGCAACTACTTTCAGTGGCATTTTAAAGCACTGTATTTTAAGAAATATAACTCAATGAATAAACATACCTTAAGGATTATCTAAAGAGTTCCCATCTCAACATAAAAATGCTGGAACTGCAAGCAAACTGCTTAACTGTTAGCGACTGTCGTCGCTGTTGGCGAACTGCCATTACGTAGATAACAACTATCGTCTTCCCCTTCTTCTCCTAACTATTTCTTCTAGTATTTTCAGAACAAGAAAAGAGTCATTCCATGACACTGATATTAATGTGTTCATCTGCCTAAAAGTAGGAGACATACGGTATTCTTTCGAGATTCATTGTTTTAAAAATATGGGACGTCCCAGGATCCCAGTCGACCAACATACAACAGGTCATGAAACTCACGGCCTATATACGAGACCGGTGATGACAGATAGTGAACTGTCACAGAAGTTGTCAGAGGTCTGTAGGACCAACTTGTCGGTTTCTTGGGCATTCGGTCTCTTGGGTGTTATGAAAATGTTTTAAGGCTCGTTCAGATATGAACACAAAAAAATAAAATAATAACGGCAGCCGGGCGCTACAAAGGTCATTGGCGTATTCACTGATCTGTTTGGTATAAGATACAGAAATGATAAGCGCATTGCGTTAAAATATTGTTTTAACGTGTCAAAAAACGCAATGGTTTTACCGCGTCATACATGTAGTTATCTAAACGAGGTTTCAGAAGGCCCGCAATGCAGTCCGTCTATGTAAATCTCAGTGGCTGTCGGTCTCATTATGCTGTCGGTCTCGTAGGCTGTCGGTCCTTCGACGGACCAATAATGTTGCCGTTGCATGGAAACCATATAGTATTAGCCCATGTTTTAAATACCCCTCTTACCTGCCAAGTGTGATGTACTTTGTGGACGTATTTGTAGATGCTCTTATGGTGAAGTAGACGGTGGCTGAAATAATGCCATGTATCCTCGACAACTAGACAAGCAAAACACTTGGCAAGAGTAATGTACCTTTAAGTGGAAAGAAAGTTTTCGCATCGTTAAAAAAGGAAGAACAATTGCAGACAGGGGTCTACACGGCACCACCCCCCCCCCCCCCTCCCCCTTCAGATTGTCAAATCCCTCTTCTTATCCCCACCCCTACACACACATAAACACACTACCTTTTCCGGCGCTGTGTAAGCCAACAAAAAAGTAAACGTCTATTTATTTTTATTTTCTTCTTCTATCTTTTTTTCCTCTTCTTCTTCTTTAGTTCATTGAAAAGAAAAGTTGGTCATTTTTAATCTTTTTTCTTTCATAAATATCGATCCAATAATCACTTTTTTGTTCATGTTGCCTTACGCATCCTCCCACCTCTGTACTTCTTTCTCTTCCTTCTTCTTCCCTCTCTGTAAGTCTGTCTATCTCTCTTTCTCCCTCGCTCTCTCTCTCTCTCTCTCTCTCTCTCGCTCTATCTTTTCCCCCCTTTTTCTGCTCTTTTTCCCCTCTCCATTAATTCGATTAGGGGAAGTGCCCCTGCGCCCGCGGTATACGTCTTCAATGGGACCCGACAACTATAGCTTATTACCATGATGACATAGTCTCGTAGCTGAACGGAAGATTGATGATTTCACAGTAGTAATACGCTCCAAGGTAGAAGGGGACATGGATTATGAACTGATTCACCAGAAGAAGACGGATACATTTCATCTCATTAGCTCCTGACAGTGGCTTCTACAAAACAAAACAAAATCCCTTCATTTTCAGTTTTCAATTAAAAATCAGTTAGATTCATTCTATTCAATTCATTCAATTTGATTTAATTCAATTCAATTCAGTTCATTTTAATTTCGTTCAAATCTTTCAGTTCAATTCGACTCAATTTTAGTTCAATTCAATTCAAATTCAATTTCTAATTCCATTCCTGATTAATTAAATTCCATTTTATTCGGTTCGATTAAAGTCAATTCCGTCCAATTCAACTCAAATTCAATTTCATTTCAATTCAATTCCATTCAATTCAATTCAATTCAACTCGGTCAAATCCAATTCAGTCTACTTCAATTTAATAATCATTTTCTATTAATTACAGTGTTTAATATCATTGCTAGCCTTACAAGATGGTGCACCCGCAAGCCTACTGTATAAGTAAGATGGTGTTCTAGAACCAATATGATGGTGATAAGGATCAGATTATTTTTCTCTTTACTTTTCAAGGTGGCCCATTGCAGTATATACAATTATAATGTTCTTCATTTTATTTTATATATACGTAACATGTACTCTCGATCTCAAATTTCAACCACCTTTAATGATTTGTTTTGTTTATTTAGTTTTGTTCTGTTTTGTTTCGTTAAATATGTGCTGATATCGGATCCCCCCCCCCCCAGTATTTTCAGCAATATTTACATTATGATAAAGTTTTCTTGACTATTCGTAACCCGTATTTGCTCAACGCTTAGGGTACGGCGTTTATCGTCATGTTTACATTCACATTCGTCATTTGGCTTTTTTTAAAGCCTCGACATCAATGTAATGTCCAGTAAATACACAAACTCTTGTCTGACATTGGAATCTAGATATGATAATAATAATAATAATAATAAAAACGTTACTTATAAAGCACTTACCACCGAAGTCTCTAAGCGCTATAACAAACAAAAATAGACTTATAAACAATTACAAATTACAATACATACACATCAAGTGAACAGAGTTAATTAGTCAGCGAAAGCAATTTCGAATAAATGTGTCTTAAGACTAGTTTTGAATAGGTTAACAGTTTGACAGTTTTTGACATTTAAAGGTAGTCTGTTCCAAAGTTCAGCAGAAGCTTTGCAAAAAGAGCGATTACCATAAGAAAGAGTTGACACAGAAGTAGACATGAGGTTTAATTGTGAAGATGACCGTAAATTGCGCGAGGGTTTGTATTCCTGGATTAGTTCTTGCAGATAAATTGGTGCCAATTCATTCATGATGAGGTACACAAGTCAAAAGTTTGGATTAGTTTTGACTTACTTGTTGAATCTTGAAGCGATCCATGAAAGGAATGTATCGGAACAGGATCGATGGAGAAGAAATCAAAATGTACGATACCTGCAGAATGATATGTACAGATTAACACATGATAATTCCATCTAAATAACCAGATTTTAAAACAAAAAATGAAAATCTTCTGAAATCAATTCAATATTACCATGAAATAAATACATATTATATTATAAATGTGTTCTCCTTCTCTTGCTTAGTATACTGTTTTAGTTTGTATTTTGTTATTTGCTTTATCACCAAAAGAAGAAGATAAAAAAAGAAATGCTTTATTGATATAGAGATTTCATTTGAACTTGGCTTACTCTTTAACTATATTCGTTTTTTCTTCAAAATTAAAATTTCCTGATTCTAATTAATGAAGACAGTATTCATGTATAGATTTTTAAATTGCGACTATACTCAGTGATTATTTTGTCCTTTTTTTGCCTACCATTCATTGTCCACTGCAAATATCAAATTTATCTTGCACAATTACATGTTTCAATTGGTCCAATCTTCAAACTTACACAATGAAGGAGTGCGGATCCGTAAGCTGCGATCTGGAATCTTGTGTAGTTGTCTGTCATGTACCTCCATGCATGCTCGAATCCTCCATCAATAGAAACACTTGTATGATTCTCCACGAAAGGATCAGCGCTCAGTATGTCCGCCATTTTCACAACCTTTTAGTCTCACAACGCTGTAATAATCATTTGAACTCGAAGCCGAATTACAGACGAACTATTTAGTTGTTGGATGATACCTGTCAACTGGTTTGACACGTCTTGGTCACAGTTTTATCATTAAACGGGTAGTTAACTGTTATACATCATAGCCCAGTTGGTTAATGAATCAGTTGTTGCTGCCGCAGGATCAAAATAACTCAACGTTGAAACGGATGTTCATTTTCTGGTGACGAATGTCTTTATTTGACTTAACGATTGTCAAAACAAAGTAACAGTGATGAACAGTGCCGTGAAAACTGTGAACATAAAAAGTATAAAATAGCACAGAATAATAAATACCGTGCGAAAGATACAAATATATGTACACAAGTAAATATACAGATTACTTGTCAATTTAAAGAGTTGATAAACCATATAGATGTTCTTAACGAGAGTTGTTCATACAGATATGATTTGTCAGAATGAGTATAAAAAGGGTTCATGATAAAACATTTATGATATGAGCTACAAGTCTCTTACGAGAAATTTGATAAACATGCATTAAGAGCATACTAGTTAAGACTATGAATATAAAAGCAAGTTTTATATGCTACTGATTTACAGAGAATTCTTATTCATGAATAATTACTCAAACATGAAATATTCAAATGGCTTTCCATAATTTAGCGTTAGATGTAAACAATCTCACGTGTGTGGAAAACTAGCTCACTGAACGCTACTAATCACAACATGAAAAAACACTTATAATGTATCAAAATTACAAACTGATAGATCATGTAAGTAATATGAAATTGTTCTAAATACATTTCTGCCATAACATACCTCGTTGGCAGGACTTTTCCATCCTTGGGCAGCAAAATATACCTTGAAACTTGGCGTTTTTTGAAGACCCCACAAAACACGTATTGCTTGGGCCAGGTCGTAATTCAGAAAAGCCAAGGGTCAACGCGTTCACCGAACTTATCGGCACACGGATATCAAATAATTTGTCCAACTGGAATTTACTTAAAACGACCAACGATTTAGTTTTGACAGAATTTACTAATGTTATTCGCATTTCAATGAACATTACTTTACATTTCAGTACATAATTAATGATAATAACTTATTTCTTATGCTTGAATGTATGGAACTATTTTCTCGTGCGTACTAAAAATGTGTTTGTAGGCCTTTTATTGACATTGACCCGCGCTAGGCATGCGCTGTAAATCTTTCTTAAATAACAAAGAGAAATTACTTAAAGGGCGATGCACATGTAAAATAGGTGGTGCTATGAACAAAAATTAAAAATACTAATGACAAATTCTGGCGGCAGCCACACTCCCACCCAAATCATCTAACTGATTTTTCAAACAACAAAACTATCTATTTGAAACAAAACAAGGAATTGACCGACTTGCAAAATTTATAAATACAAATGGTCTTCCCCAATTGAGAAAATATTTCTTAGAATGTCAGGGCAGGATGAAAGTCCAGGTTAGTCAAAGCCATTTGTCTGGGTAAAAGTGAATGTCAGCTATTAAAGTCAAGCTTAGTCTTCAATCGCCTTGTCGGTGCTGCGGATCAAAACTACCAGTTTGTGTACTGGCCTTTCAAGAGTTGTCCTCTTATTTACTGGCTTACCTTTTTTGTCCAAGTCTGGGGTCGCCATGAGAAGTCGCACCTTCCGGACTAGACCATCATCACTGGACATTGTTTCCATGACTCTCGCAACTCTCCAATCTGTCCGACAAATGGCTTCATCTTTCAAGAGTACTATGTCGTCTACGTGCACATTGGTCTTCTTTTCAGTCCAAGTTTTCTTGGTTGAAGCGTGTGCAGGTACTCCTTCTGCCATCGTGTCCAGAACAACTGTGTCAAGTATTGGACTCGACGCCATCTTTTGCGGAGATAGATGTCCTCCCTTTCAAAGCTTCCAGGTGGAGGCAGTATAAGACCGGATTTCATGGTCAGAACATGATTGGGAGTCAACGGAAGAGGACCATCAGGACTTTCCAGGTCATCCACACTCAATGGACGGCTGTTTACGATAGCCATGGCCTCATAGAGAAATGTCCGTAGAGAGGAGACATTCAACTGCGTTCCGCACTGTTCCAATAATCCATTGAGAACATTGCGCACATTTCTGATTTGTCTCTCCCATACACCTCCCATATGGCTAGAGGAAGGAGGATTCATTTTGAACTCACAGTTCTGCTCCAGAAGATTGCGGGCGACATGGTCCGCATCCATCTCACGGAGAGCTTGTTTCAGTTCATGCTTGGCTCCAACAAAATTGGAGCCCTGGTCACACTGAATCCGCCTTACGTTTCCTCGAATAGCAATGAAACATCTCAGTCCGTTGATGAATGCATCGGATGACATGTCATCCAATACTTCCACATGAATGGCTCTCATTGCCATGCATGTCAGGATGAGGCCATAGCGCTTGAGCTCTTTGCGCCCTTCTTTGATTACAAATGGACCAAAACAGTCCAGACCGCAATAAGTGAAAGGGGGCGATGGCTCAAGTCGTTCACATGGAAGGTCAGCCATCTTCTGTCCACCCAACTTGCCTCTTAGTCTAATGCAATGGGTGCATGTGCCGATCAGAGATGAGACAATGCTTCTGCAACCGATGATCCAGTATCCACTTGATCTGATTGCGTTGATGGTCATATTTCTACCTTGGTGAGAAATCTTCGCATGATAGTGAAGTGCGACAAGCATGGAAAGTCTACTACCCTTCGGAAGGATAATAGGGTGCTTAACTCCATACACCATTTCAGACCTCTTCATGCGTCCTCCCACCCGTAGGAGGTCTTGTTTGTCAAGAAATGGATCTAATTGACTCAGGCGGCTAGATTTTGACACAGCATGTTTGTCAGATTTGATTTGCTGTCTTTCATCACAGAAGGCTTCTTTCTGGACAGCATGCAGGAGATTTCTCTCAGCGACTCTTTTGATCTCAACATCATCTATGTCATGTCCCTTGCGCCTGTAACAACACCTCACTAGTACAGCTACCGCTCTAATAGCGCTGTCCAACATGGCGAAGCGGTTCAACCTATCTTCAAATGACGTAAAGGTTGAAATCTTGGTCTTTGACATTACTGTATGTACTGTCGAAGACTTCACTTCAACGTCGTCAGGAGAAACCTCTAGTGTGACATCTTGCTTAGCAACTTCACTTTCCCAAAGGAAGTCTGGTCCTCCTAACCAGTTTGACGAAAGAAGTTCCTCTGTTGTCAGTCCACGTGATGCGTAGTCAGCTGGATTATCACCGCTAGTAACATAATTCCACTGACTACAACTTGTGGTTCTCAGAATACAATCCACTCTGTTCGCAACGAACATGTGGAAGCGCTTAGACTGGTTGTACAGGTAACCCAGAACAACCTTGGAGTCGGTCCAGAAGATATTCTTGACTGAGCTGTAGTCTAGCTCCTTATTCAGTATTTTTGCAACCTTGGCAGATAAGGTTGCTGCCTGAAGCTCCAGTCTGGGGACGGTAGTAGACTGCTGAGCGGTGCTACTCTCGCCTTTGCCATGGCAAGAGAGCAGTGGACTTGTCCCCTTTGATTTCGTAATCTGACATATGAACATTGTCCATATCCAGATAATGAGGCATCTGAGAAGTGGTGCAATTCCACTTCCTCAGCCTCTCCGAAATCTTTGGGCTGGAAGCAGCGAGGAATCTTTGCAGTTTCTAGCTTCAGGATCTCCTGTCTCCATATTTCCCATCTTGTCCGAAGATAGTCAGGAACGGGATGATCCCAATCCATCTTTTGTTTGCACATTTCCTGCAGAATCATTCTGCCAGCAAGGACAACTGGTGCAATGAGACCAAGGGGATCATATACAGACGCAACTGTAGCTAGAATACCTCGTCGAGTGAGGGGTTGATCCTTCAGAGTAAGTCGGAAGCAGAACTCATCAGAAACTGACGCACCACTGAAGCCCAAGAGCTCTTTCGATTGGTGAGGTTTGTTCACCTAGCTGAACACTTGCATTCGTGACAGTGGCACGTTCCGATTTTGGAATGGTGCTGGTTACGTCCTTGCTATTGCACACAAATTTGTGCAGACGTAGATTGCCTTTAGCACACATTTGAGTTGCGTCCTTGATTAGCACAGCTGCTTCCTGTTCAGAAGACATGCTTTTTAGGCCATCATCGACATAAAAGTTCCTCTTGAGGAAGTTGGCTGCACGGTCACCGAGTTTCTTGTGGTCCTCGCAATCTGTTTTAAGCCAAAGTTGGCACAGCCCGGAGATGAGGTTGCCCCAAAGAGGTGGACCTTCATCCTATGATCTACTGGGGTCTTGGAGAGATCCCCATCCTCCCACCACAAGAAACGCAGATAGTTTTGATGTGGATCTGCAACCTTAAACTGGTGGTACATCTTCTCCACATCGCACATGAATGCCACAGGACCTTGGCGAAATCTCAACAGGACACCGATGAGAGGATTAATCAAGTCAGGGCCTTGCAGGAGATGGTCATTGAGGCTTGTCCCAAGATACCTGGCGCTACAATCGAATACAACCCTGACCTTGCCAGGCTTCTTAGCGTGATATACCCCATGGTGAGGAATATACCACAAGCCTTTGTCACTACTATCACCGACCATCTCTGCATCACCGCGTGCCAAGATCTCCTTCATGAATACCTTGTAGTGACTGTGATATTCAGGTTTCTTCAGGAACTGTTTCTTGAGACCTGCTAATCGACCCAAAGCAGCCTGTCGATTGTTCGGAAGAGATGGCGGTCCTTTCTTGAATGGAAGAGGCATCTCATAGAACCCATCCTCTCTCTGGCGTAAACCTTCGGTGACAACTTGAATGAATTTTTTGTCATTTTGTGACATTGCATCAGCTTGTTCAGCTTCTTGGAAGTCCCTTTCCATGAGCTGAAGGAAATCCGATGCAGTCGCTTCCTTTAAGGGAGACTGGTAAGCGAATGTCACCTTCTTGATATCGATCGGGGCCTCTACCTTCATGCTGACTGTCCTGTATGTGTGGCCAAACGAATCGAAGCTGTTGGACAAGTCAGACTGACCTCCAACAATACTCCAACCAAGGTCTGTTTGGACAGCATACGGCTCACCATTTTGGCCTCGGACTGACGTCAGAGGAGCAAGGGCCTGTGCACAATTGTAGCCAATCAGAAGACCGACAGGACAGTCTTGTTTTGGCGCTATCATATCCTGCACACACACGAGATGAGGCCACTTGGAGGCAGTTTCTGGAGTCGGGATATGACTGTCGTCCAGAGGGATAGACTGCCTAGTAAATGTGGAGGGACGAATTTTCTCCGAGGAATAAAAACCTCTGACACGAAGATTGTCATACTTGAAGGTTGAGATCGATATCTCATCTGTCAAAGTTGTCAACGACAATGTGGCAGGCTGGGATTGTACATCCAGGTCTTGGCCGACATCTTCGGAAAGGAAGGTGGTGTTTGACATGGAGTCTAGTAGTGCATACACTAGAACCTCCTTGTCAGGCCTATCTGTACTAGAAAGGTACACAGGCACAATCATTGATGTAAGGTCACTACGTTCATCGCCTTGTACTTTGTGCGTTACAGCTTGAGGATTTGAGGTCGATGCGGTTTGAGCTTCCTTCGGTTGGCTTGATGCCAAGTTGGCCTTGTTCGAATCTCTTTGGTCCTCATGAAGGCAGCTTGGATGCCTTTTACTGCACTTCTTGCAGACCAGTCTGCTTTGGCAATATTTAGACATATGGCCTTTTTCAAGACAGCCATAGCAAAGTCTTTCATTTTTGATGAAATCCTTTCTCTGGGACATGTCTTTCCGAAGGAATTCCCGACAGTCATTCAGGGAATGATTTTGTCTCTTGCACAACAGACATTGCTTCTGTGAAGTTGAGCCAGACGTAGAGAGGGTTACCCGTTTTGAGACTGCGGTTTCCTGTTTTCTCTCTCTAGTCTTGCCAACATCCACAGTGAGCAGAGGATCATTAGCAATGTCTGCTTCGTTCCCAATGAAAGAAACGAAGTCAGCAAACCTAGGATAACAAAGTCGCTCCCTTTTTGTCTGTGCCACCGAGCGATTCCATCTATGGACGATATGATCTGTAGTCGAGCAACCATTCGGTTGATCTCTCGTATATCATCCAGAATGTTGAGATCGACAATCTCAGCCTTGGCTACCAGACACTGTTGAAGGAAGTCTGCAAACCGCTGCAGCCCATTGTGATCCTTGCTGGTTATCTTGGGCCACACATCCAACTTTGTCCGAAAGGCTTCAGCAATAGCAAATGGATGCCAAACCTCTTTTGAAGGGTGCTCTTTGCTTGCTCAAATGCATTTTCTGACCTCAGGAGAAAGTAGCCACTGACTGCCTCCTTTGCTGGACCACCAAGATACCTTCGAAGTAGTAGTGAATTTTTCACCAGGAGGGATGCCTCTTCGCTCTACCAGAGTAGTGAAAGCCGACACCCAATCTGGATATTGGAGTGGGTCTCCAGTGAATATTGGCGGCTCCGGAACGGGTAGACGACTCTGAGCCAAGGCATCAGCGAGATCTAAAATGGTGATCTTGGCTGGAACATCGGAGCTTGGGGATCAAGCACTACTTGCGCTTGCTGTGACACGATGGAGGCTGGTTCATCAATCAATTTGCTTTCTAACTTGGGAGATGCCCTTGGGATCACATCAGTTGGATTTGGCTGATCTTCGATCTTTTTGACAACAGTTTTACCTCCACGCGAGGATGAAGAAGAGACTGTGCTGGTTCCATCTTCTTCATCGTAGACTCTCATAATTGCTTCTTGTGCCTTGAGCTTGCCTTGTAGTCTTTCCTCTTCTAGTTGTCTTTTCAGCTCGGACATTTTGAAAACTACTTGCTTCCTCCTCATTTCTTCCTCAAGTTCATTC